GGAATCAAAGCTCAGAGCAGAGACATGCTCTTAGAACACAGGAGGCCCTTGGCTCCAGGATTCAGGGTCCCTCCAAGTAGGCTGGGCGACCTAGTCTGAGTTTCAGACCCTGCACTTTTTCTGCCACCTCTGATCATTTTCTTATCCTCTCTTCGTATTATCAGACCATCTATTACAATCTCCAGTGTCCCTTTGCAGCAACTGGGGATCTTTGATTTGAGGGGTCCCTGCCTCCCTCAGGCTCCAGCTGCAAAGCTGACACCATGAATACTACATGGGTCATCTGAAACCTTTCCTGAAGAAGCAGGCACACAATAGCCAGAGGCAGAGCCAGGCTACCTTGGGCTCAAGCGAGAAGTAATAGAAGTGAGTGCCAACTCCTTTGGGATCCATTCTTCCCCCACCCAATACTTCCCAACCAGACATCACTGCCTGGAGCCTCAACATCCCTGTCCCAAGCTACTTATGCACTCTCTCTCCCCATTCCTAGCATGATCTTCTTTCAGGAAAGAGTCTGATGAATTTGTTCACACAGATGAGGAAATGACTCATAACGGCTTAAAGTGCAGTGTCTCTTTTTGGTGTCTGCATTTCAAAGGGAGTCAAACCTTAAGTCGGAAAGAAAAACAAAGCTCTGGTGGTGTAATTTCAGTTATTAAAGAGAGAGTAGCAAAAGGTTTTTCAGAAGGAGAGACTGAATTGAATTCTTTTCTATTCGTATCTTCAATAGATCCGATAGAAATTAGCTGCATTGTCAGTTCCACTCTCTGTACCTCAGTTTCATTTCTAAAACCAGGTTGACCACCAGCTTACCCAGTCCTCTCTTGGCTCTAATAACCTGGGGTACTTGCAATGGAATGGCCACCCAGTGACTGGAGCAGAAATACTTACTGCAATTATTGTCTCAAACTCACTGCCAGAAGCAGGACAGACTGCCTTCGGACAGAGAGATGGCTCCAGTGAGAATCAGACATCTACCTACCTGGTCTCTGCTTCCCCAGCAGCAGCTGAGACCCCTCCCATTCCGAGTCCTCATAAGACAGGAAGGGGCAGATGGTCCTCGGGACATAGCCGGAGAGCTGGACTCCACGTGGATGGCAGCCCTAAGTGTCCCTAGAATCTGGGTAGAATCTGGGTCTTTGGTGCAGAAGCCAGCAGACCTGCTTTAGTTCAAGCCCAGGCAAGCTGCACCTTCTAAGCCCAATTTTATCACCTGTTAAATGGAGACGATACTATCTCCCTGCCCACTTCCCTATCTGGATGAGCTGCTCCAAGATGTGAAGTGCTTTGCAAAAAATAACAGGACACAATGCCTCTGGCAGCATCTCCAGGGGCATGGAAAAGCAGGACCCACTTGAACCTCCAAGATACTTCTGTGTCTGGCACTGGAGGGAAACCAGCTGGCTCGCTCCTCTCCTTCTCCTTTCTCCTGTGACCTTCTCCCCGTGCCTGGGCCACTGCCCCCACGGCATACCTACCTTCAGCTAGTATAAGCCTACATCCTCCCAGCCTCCAGGACTCCCTCAGCCACAGAGCTCCCCCGGGTCCAAGCAGCAGCTAGAGAGGCTGCCAGGGGCTCCAAAGGGGCCACTAGATTGGGATGGGACTGGGAGTGGGGGTGATTTGCTGTGCTCTGCTGACTTATAGTCCTGCGTACCACCGCCAAGGCCAGTGGGAAGTCTGATGGGGGCTGTTGCCTGGCAGTCCCCAAAAACTCTGCAGGTTGCTCAGCGGACCCCAGCGTCCACCTGCAGGTCCTGGGAGAAGGTTTCTGGCCCCCAAAGATCCCTCCAGGCCCTATTTTTGGTCCAGCCACCCAAGAATTCCCCCTTCAGGCCCCCACCAGACCCCCTTGTCCAAGCTGGATCATGAGATCTGGTGAGGAAATAGCTTGTAGGCCAATTCTGAGTGCTAGAAAGTTCTTCCTGACAGCTGAGTTGCATCGTCTAGTATAACTTGCCCCTACCTGTCTTAGTTCTGTTCCCTGGAGTTTCAGAGAGCAAAAGTGAGCCCCTGGCCCCCAGGATCATCTCCTTCTCCCCACCTTTGTCCCACCGGAACCACCAGGGGCTCTTCAGGGAAAGGGGTTCTAGGCTCACCACACCATCAGTCTGCTTTCATCTGCCCAGGAATTTACCCCCTTATATTGCCCAGGAATACAAACCAGAGCTCCCTCATCTTGAATGTATACAATTGACTGTTTGGACCGGAATTAAGGACTTTGCCTTCCACTTACGTTTACATTTCATTTTCTTGGTTTTGCTCTGAATGTTGAGATAACCTCAAATCTTGAATCTGTTGCCATGTGGGTGTTGTGGCTCTTATCCAGAGATCTGATAAGCATGCCTTTTATTTTCCCTCTACATTACTTAATGTCAGGTCAAGGCCAGAGCCCGAGGGACCTCTAAGCTGCACTGAAGCCTTTAAGGAAAGCCCTGCTGGCAGTCCTCCAGCCCCTTCCCACATCTTTCTATCACTTTCCAGGGCTCTCACCAAAGATCTCTGCTGTGCCCTGCTGAAATCCTGCAATCCATCTCTGTTCCTCTCAAAAACCCAGTCTGAAAGACGAAATTTGGTGAGTTTGGTCTGATTTGCTTTAGTGAACACTGCTACTGGGTCTTGTTATATTCTTTCTTTTTGCAAAAAAAAAAAAATTTGTTTTTGTAAAAATTGATGTGCTTCTTATGAAACAGTTCTGAGTGCTATGAAAGAAGAGAATGAACGTCATTGAAATTTCACATGCGGGGCAACTTCCACGGCCAGTGTGTATGTGACGCTTCTTGCCACATCTCCTTGGCCTGAAGATCCCAGCCGTGGTGGACTGTTCCTTGTACTTCCTGTGCCCAACCTAGCCTGCACCCAGGCATCTCTCTGCTCTGCTTTCTTTGAACCCAAGAACAGGAACCTTCTAGGAGTGCAGAAGGGGTAACCCTCAACCAGCAGAGAGGAGCAAACAGCAGGCCCTCTCCTTCTGGTGTGAGGCAAATCTTGGGTGTTTTTTGCATGCTGCCCAGAGGGTCCCAAGAGGGATAGAGCCCTCAGATGCCCACAGCGAAGCCCCAGTTCATTCCTGCACCCATTTTTCTTCCTCTCCCACCTCACTCTCTAGACCTCAGCTTTCAGGCATCAAACTCCCCGGACCCGAGCCCTTGTCTTAGGGTATACTTTCAGAAGCAGGGCAATCCACACGAAGATGTCTCTCTGCATATGGTTTACCTATATATCCAATAATAAGCCTACATAATTTTGCAAAAAGGGGATCATACTACACATGTGTTCTAAAACCTGCTTTTGAAAAATTACTCACAGTAGGCACAGAACATCTTTTCATGCCCATAAATAAAATCCTAAACGCAGTTCTACTGTCTACATACTATCCCATTGCGGATGTTTCATACTTTAATTTACTTAATTATGGACAACTCGATGGTTTCCAGTTTTGCACTGAGCTGAAAATGCTCAGTCTCATCTCTTTGCAAGCGCACAGGATGGCATCCTTTGAAAAAATTTCGAGATGTTCCATGGCTTTATTGTCTCCTAAATGTTCACTACGTGTTTGATAATTTATTCTGGAATTTTAACAGAGGCCGATATTAACCTTAGCAGCTTAGGGATTTTTTTTTCTTCTCTAAATCTATCTTTGCTTCCTTTTTGAAAATCAGGACATCGGCCCATCTTTAGTTTTCTGGTTTCCCTTTATTCATTGTCATTTCCTTTAAGGCAGTGATTACATCAGCAAGGCCTCCCCATCCCCGGGATGTCGTTTGTCTGGGCTTCGATGCCTTTTTGCCATCACCTATCTTAGCTTTCAATTTCCTCCTTATGCTCTTTATTCCATCATTTGGTATAAAATTGCCTGTGTCCTGCTCTGCTTGCCCTCACTTGTGTGTTAAGATTACACCACATATCCCCAGCCCTGAGCAGATTCCTTCATGATATTCTTACTTGGATTTTGAAAGAGCTTTGCTCTGTCTTTGTTAATTTCCCCCGGCTTCTGTTCACTCGGGCGTTGCTCTTTTGCTACCACTGTTCTTACAGATCCTGCCAGTCTTCCAGATTCATCTTGGGTTATGCATTCCTTGTTGCATCTTTGTGTGCGTGCACTTTTCAAATCCAATAAGCGCAGCATGCAAGAGGTTCTGTGAAACTCTTTTCCTTCTCACCAGCAGTGTTTGCAATTACTTCCTTGGAATTTCAGGGTTTTATTAACTCTGGAAGGAGCCTCTCTTACTGGTATGGATTTGTTCAACACATCTTATCTTATTTTACTCTCACAGCCACCTATGAAGCCAGCTAAATGTAATTTCTCCATTCAACAGGTGGGTGAACCGGTGGCACAGAGAGGTTTCGACACCACCCCCAAAGACGCCCAGGAGGCCAGTAGACCAGCCCTCAGTCTTCCAGTTTCTTAGCCTAAATATGGTTTCCCTTGCCCACCTTGGCTGAGATGGGAGTCTGGACCTCCACTTGGTAAGGTTGGAGCAAGCAGCCTATGCCTGCTTAGAGTCCTGGTGATCGGGTCCATAAATCCACCTTTTCTCCAGGGAGAAAAATTATCTCTGCATGGAAGAAATCTTGTCTGGAATTCCATCTCCCCCAGTACTCCCACTCCTAGCAGGTAAAGTCAATGGGTCACAGTTCCACTGAAGCCAACGGCCAAGCTCAGGTACATGGAGGCACCTGTCTCTCCCTCTCTCTGTCTCCGTCTCTGTCTCTGGCACACACACATACACCACACACAGTACAGAGCACTCTAAGTCTTTCTGCATCTCTCAGTGTCTCTCTGTCTCTGTCACACACACACACATACACACAAACACACCACACGCATGCACACACACACACACACACACACACTGTCACAGTGTCTGGCTCTGGACAGCCTTCAGTGATCAGGTACCCCAGCCCCTTCGCTCTCCCTTGGCTCACTGCTCCTGAGTCAGTACCCGACCCACTCCCACTTGCAGCCCACCCTCAGCCCCAGCTCCGGGCTCACTCACCCTCCATGCTGCCCACTCCCGCCGGCTCTGAAGAGAGCACAGCGGGCCCCTCCGCCCTGGCAGGGGGAGGGGGTCTCCAGACGCTGGTTGGCCTGCCCGCGCCTCAACCTCTGCGCTCCAGGGATCGAGTCTGGGACCCTGCGGATACGGGCGGATACGGGCGGAGACGGGGTGGGGGGCGGTGCGTGCGCCCTCAGGAAGAAGACCTTCGCGGGGTCTCACTCCCCCTAGGGGCCCAGAGTTAGCCCCGCGGTGGCCGGGCTCCCGCGCAGCGCAGCCGCCTGCCCCACTCTGCGGCCGGCCGACGGCTGCCCCGCGCTTCCCCTGGCGGGAGCGAGAGACTGGGCTCGCGCGGCTCCGTCGCCATGGCAACCGGCACGCCTGTGCGGGCCGCAGCGTCCCCGGCCAGCTGCGCCCCGGCCCGCCTCCCCGATGCACCTCTCTCCGCAGGGGCCGAGCGCCCCTCCAAAGTAGGGGACAGCCCCACTGGAGCCCTGGCAGCAATGCCCACTAACTCTGTACCTCTCCCCGCGCCCCACGTCCCAGTCCCTCCCTGTTCCCTTTCCTCCTCCTCCTTGCCCCATCCCAGCTTGACCCCCAGACACCCACCCCGGTGTCCAGGACCCTGGGGTCCTCCTGAGAAAGAAATAAGAGGCAGCTGTGAATACATGGGAGCGCCGAAGGAGGGAAGGGGTGGCTGCTGCATCAGCTCTGAGCTCTGGGAGGAGAGTGGGGACACTGTCTCCTCCATGACCACTGGCTTTGGCAGCAGTGGCCGGGGGCATTCAGCACTTTTCCCCTCAGGCAAGTCTCAGTTTCTGCGTCTGTAAAAAACGGTCTCCAGGAGAGGAAATGAGATGCCACAGCCTCTGCCCAGCACATAGTAGAAGCCCAACCAACGGTCCCTCCAGCTGGATGGGAGGCCACCTCCCTCTCATTGCTCTATCCCCTGTCAAGCCCCCGACAACCACCACCATAGACTTGTGTCACATGAATGAAGATCCCAGGTTCCAAGCAGATGGAAGAGAGTGACTGACCCATTCCTTCCTTTCCTGGGGGTGGGGCCTCTATCCAGACTTCTGAGGAAAATGTTGGAATCCAGATTCTTCCCAGTCTCCCTCCAGCTCCTCCTCTGTCCTGAGTGGCCGGCAGACTTTCAGAGCTAGAAGACCTTGGAGACCAGGGAGTCTAACCCCACCCTGGGCCAGGGCTCCAGTTCCTAATGCCCAGTAGTGGGTAATTCTGCCTCGCATCACCCTCTCTGCCCAGAACAGCCCAGAGGGAACAGCAGGGAGGGAGAGCTCCCTGTCGAGACCCCCTTCTGCAGGCCAAACATCTGATTTTCTTTGGGCTTTTTTTTCTTCCTGTGGCTTGCCTGAGGATTATCTGTAAAATGGGACTAATAACAGTACCTATCTCCCAGAGTCGCAGTGAAGATGAAAGGAGTTACTCTATGTATCGCATGTGGAACGGTGCCTCGCCCATAGTAAGTGCTCCATAAACCTTAGTTATTCGTATCATTACTATCTTGAGCCCACCTCCCTATGGAAGTGCTCACAGTTCTCAGAGTCCCTCTGACTGTCAGGACCCAGAACTGTGATAGGGGATATCAAGCCCCCTTGACTGACTCGGAGTTCAGGGCACTGCTGTAAAATCCGTATAGCCCAGCATTGCCATTTATTGTCAGAGTGACTTTCAGAAAGTTATATAATCTCTTTGGGCCTCAGTTTCCCTGCCCGTATAGCCCAGCGTTGCCATTTATTGTCAGAGTGACTTTCAGAAAGTTATATAATCTCTTTGGGCCTCAGTTTCCCTGTCCGTATAGCCCAGCGTTGCCATTTATTGTCGGTGTGACTTTGGAAAAGTTATATAAATCTCTTTGTGCCTCAGTTTCCCCAATCTACAAAATAGGGATAATAGTACCCACCATAAAGTCGCGCACTGACAACAGTGCCTGGCACATAGTAGGTACTCAATAAATACGGGTTGTATGTTGGGTACTAGGCTTTGAATAATTCAATCTCACTTTTTCACTCCCCCCCACCTTCTTACCCTTTCCTCTGCCTTTCACCTTTCCTTAGCAGCCACATCATTCTAGGGCATTAACTCAGTCTTGTGACCAAGTTCCCCCATTTCCCATCTTTTTTATTTGAGTGGTTCTGGATCATGAAGACTTTTTTTCTTCCTTCTGCCTCCTGTTCCACAGACTTCTTTCCTCCACCTTTATATGGTGCCCAAATATATGAACACGCCCAAGCACCACACAGAGCACACTCCGTGGGGTCAGCCTCTGTGGGGCAGGGAGGGCAGTGCCATGGATAGAAAGACCTGCGTGTGAATTCTTCCTCCACTGTTTATCGCTGTGTGACCCAGGTGATAAGCCTTCCGACTTCAATTTCCCCACCTATATAATGGGATTCACAATCCTCCTCTCAAGGCTGCTGTGAAGACTGAGTCAAGTGCCGGTCATACAGTGCCCTTCCTTATCCCCAAAGCCACGGGAAGAGGCCGGATAGACTCGGTAATATCTCTCCATGCAGATTAAAAAAAAAAAAAAAAGTACCTCCTTTCACTCCCCTCCTTGCCCCAAAGGGGTTCCCAGGAAACCAGAGGCACCTCAGTGTTCTGTTTTAGATCATGCCTTCCTCCCGGGCTCACATGATGGCAGGGCTGGGGTCCTTCCCAGTCCTGAACTGCGGATCCCGAGCCCCTCAGACAAGCAAGGCACCCTTGTTCCTGTTTTGCAGGTGAACCCAGTGCCTGACCCAACCCTGCACGGCCGGGCAGTGGCAAAAAGAGGAAGAACACTCTTCTAGACTTCTTGGACATTAGCCCTGCTGCTCCTACCCCAGCCTGCCTTCAAGGTTCTTGGCCCTCTGGGAGCATCTGAGAAACTATGGGTATAGTCATCCAGAGCACAGAAGCGATCCCTGTCTGTCTTGAGGAGGCCCACCCCCGCCTTGACCTTCAGGGGTTCTGATTTGGCCCATTCTGGCCAAGCTCTTAGCCTGGCCCTTCCTCCTGGGTGGGGGGGAGCTGTGCCCCATGCTGACCTGCCTCTATCAGCTGTGGCCTAGGGAGTCTTTCCATAGAAAACCCCACTGTCCTGGAAACTGATTTCCACCTGAAAAGCTGGGAACCAGGAGGTGGCTTCTGGGCAGTGGAATTCCGAGGAGCCTTGGTGCTGAAGCATTGATGTGACCCCCTGCTTGGAGAAGGGCTAGAGAAAGCAGGGGAGGACTTAGAGGGGGGGATCTTCTCAGAATCAAACTTTCTGGAGGGCAGTGAGGGAGGTCAAATGGGACCCTACCATGACTGAAGGACTTCCTTTCTCCTTGGAAGTTTAAGACCCTGGTCACAGGCCTTTGCTGGGTATGGCTGGAAGGCACATGAACTCTGTCTCTTCTCAGCCGGGTCAGAGGTGCATTTTGAGATGCCTGAGAGTTGGCAGGAGCCTGAGAGAGGGTTGGCATGAAGCCACAGAGCGCCCTGTGGGGAAGCTCCCCGGTGGTGGGAAAGCCAAGCCTCCCACAGGAGACTCAGTCTCTCTCTTCCGGGCTGGAAATGGAAATGCACTTGGGCCTGTGGAGCGAGGAAGGCCACTGGCATAGCCCTCGTTTTGGAAAGGCTCGGATCCACAGGGAAAGGGAAGGGGCAGGGGAAGGGGAAGGGGACTCTGCCTGGTGGCAATATGGGGGTCCCTGGGAAGCAGAACCCAGCACACAGCTGGCATTTTCAGCATCTACTTGGTGGTAGTGGGGGGGAGTTCAGGGAGGGGGACCTGTTTCCTGGAGGGTGAGGTCGGGAGGTGCAGAGAGGCTGGGTTGGACTGAAGTGGGGCCCCTCCCTCTCTCCTGCCAACCTCTGAGGAGCCCTTCCTTTAGAATGCTTTCAAATGCTTATTAGTGAGCTCTCCCCAAGGAAGGAGGCCAGAGTCGTTATCTGCATTTATAAATGACAAGCGAGGACTCAAAGGACTGACTCACTTCCAGGTCGGACACAGCTAGGGCAACACAGCCCTGGAGGAGAGGCCAAAATGAGGGCTCAGCAGAAGAACTCCCAAACGCCAGGGCCCTGCAAGGGCCCCAGAAAGAACCCAGAGCAGGAGCCAGGAAACCTGCCCCTTTGTCTGGGCTCCGCCATCTGCTCGCTACCCATTCTTGGGCGGGTCACTCCACATGCCCTTTGGAACACTCTGTCTGGAACTCAGCATTTTCACGTGTAAGAAGGAGAGGTTTGGGTCAGAAGAACTTTCTTACTCGGACAGTTGACCTTGTCCTCTGGAGAGCCCAGGGTAAGAAGTCTCTTCTTGAGGAGGGGGGGGCAGCCCCCCCCCAGGGAACCCCAGCTCTCTGGCTGGGGTCCTGCCCCCTGGGCTGTGCTGCTTCCGGATCAAAGTGGGGTTCGGGTCAGGCTCCCCAGTGTCAGGAAGAACACGTACTTGGAAAAGGTGTTGAAGCCTCTTGGGAAAGATGGGAAGATTTCTGGAGGCAGCCCAGGGGCCTCCTCCAGGGTAGGGAGGGCTTTTGTAAACCATCTCCTGGGGCCCTGGACGACAATTCTAAGAAACAGGGACTCTGCTCAAAAGGCCAGTTGCACTGTCTGACCTTGGCCAGGTTCCTGGTCTACTCCAGTCCTTAGTGTCCTCTTCTAGAAAATGTAAACACAAGTGGTAGCGGGCTCAGACGTTGCTGTGGGGATTAAGTGGGAGAAGAAATGGGAAGTACTTGGCATAGTCACAGATATGTGGTAAGCTGCTAGCGTATATTTTAATTTTACTTTCACCTCCTTTGTTCCTTTTTTTATGTTCCCCCTCTGTTCCTTTTGGCAGCCCTGGTTCTTTCCTTCCCCTCAAGTTTTGGATCCTTTAACAGGAACACAGAGCTGGCCATCTGCTTGGTCGTGGGACGATTCACACCCTTTCAGGGGAATCTGTTATTAGGAAATCCTACCCAAGCCTAGAGATGAGGCACTGGTTAACAGGCCGGCCCCTGAGAATGTTCCACTGTGGTTTTGTTAATTACCGTTC